AGAGGAAATGTCTAACGCCAACTTTGGTTATACGATAGGGGACGACAGACGTTATATCCGGAAAAAGAGGGCGAAGAAAACAACACAACTAACAAACCCAACACAACACAAATGTGGTTTGTGGGTTTTTTCTACTATTTTTCTTCATTTTTTTGTTGTACAACGAAAGGCACATCAACAAACTGCGAGGACCGAGCGTTGGTTAAGTATGTTCTTAGAGTCAAAATTTATAATCTAATTATAAAAATATACGGACTAGCTTCGGTACTTTTTCTAATGGATAAATCTGCGTACGCTTTTAGCTGAAATATTTAATGGATGAATAAAATTCGACAATGAAGATTCCATTGAAATGGAAGGCATAAGTTACATTAAAATGGACGAAATGGATCTTACATTATGATATTGTCATCATAAGCAATCCTGGACTTCTTATCGCCACAGTGTGGCGCCTGACATACACCGACCTCATCTTCTAACAAGATAAAAAATATTTACTTGCTCTTGAAAGCAAACTAAAAAAAATCTCCTTACTTGTTTGGTGACGATAAAAAACAGCCAAGTCTGCAACAAACTGCCGTTAACGAAACAATTTCGGGGGAAAAAAATGTTAAACGTAAATCTTCCGCAGGCACCAAAAAATGTGTCATGTATTTGAAAAAAAAAAAAAAAGCTTCAACTTCTATAAATCTGGTCTGATGACACTAAGACGTGCTGTTAGGTTTAACATCAAAATTCAAGCTTTTAAATACATCAAAATTGGCAGAAAATCGTATGTATTTCGGTTAAGAATCATAGATTTAAAAGCTGAAAATGAAAGTAGGGAATCAGTGCCTCAGAAGAGAACTATATATTACCTCGTATAATTTTTCAAAATATTCATAAACAATTATGAATAGTTAATAAATCAATTATTACTTTTCAGCTGTCAATTAAGTATGTTAAGTACTAACATGTTAAATATGGCGTTACCAACTGATAACTAAAAAATGATAATTGCATTCAATACTAATATTTCTGAATTGTTTTCTTAACAATCTGCTAATTTATAATAAAATTTATATATATATATATATATAATTCATAGTAAAAACTGAAAATTTATTAAAATATTTTATGAAGAATTTTATCCTTATTATTCCATAATGTTGTCAAATGTTGTCAATTTCCATGTCAAATGATTCAAAATTTAAACTTGCTTAAAATAATACTTTGTAGAGACATTAGGTTTGATTGGAAAAGCCAGAGATATGAAACATTAGCAATCGCAGGGCCAACCAGCGGGAGAGTGGTAAAGACGCTGAACACTGGTAGTTCGGTCCGAGGTTCGAATCCCGCGAACGGGCTGGCTGCACGGGCGTTTTCGTGGTTTTCCCCATGTGTAACGTGTATACGAGCCAGTTTCGCTTAGAAAGTCCTCAACGAAATTATCCCTCCCTTTAGGCAGATAGCCTTCGTGTGCTTTGCCATAATTGAGTAATACAATCCATTAGCAATCGCCTTCGCCGGGAATCGAACCACGGACCTCTCGATACCGACCCAGCGTGCAGAACCACTACATCACGAAGGCTGGCTAAGAAGGTGGAAGAAATACCTTATATACTCCCCATTTTAAAGGGCGACTGGAGTTTTTAGGGTACCCAATCGCGAAATCCTGGGTGAGGAAAATCATCATCGAACAACCTTTTTTAATTCGGGCGCCACTGTAGGGACATTAGGTATTTTTTGGAAGCAGGCAAGATGAAAAATGAGCAATCACCTTCGCCAGGAATCGAACCACGGACCTCTGGATACCGGCCCAGCGTGCAATACCACTGCACTACGAAGGCACGCTAGGAAGGCGGGAGAAATACCTTATAACTTGTACGTGTAATAAACACAATAAGGAACCGCAAATCTAAAATTAGATAAAATACTCAATCAATAAATATTAAATGTCCCTTATAATGCACCAAGTATATAAAAACAAATATATAGCAATATAAAAATACATAAGATAAAATTATAAAGAACTAAATACAGATCCTTACAACAATACGCATTCTTTCAAAAATTAAACTATATAGTAAAGTTGAACCAAAGGAGAAGGTACTAAATTTAATAAATGAGTGTCCTGTTACTATGAATTGGACAGCTAACTAAAATATAAATTGCTTTAAAATTTACGAATACAGCGTATCTTCTTACCGCGACCACTTCTGAAAGTGATCCAAACACAGTTCCAGATCATATCAGTTGAGTTCCAAAAACCTTCAGATTACTTGCCTTCAGACAAGTAATTTTTTTTTTTTTAGTCTAGTTTCAAATGTCATCTTCAAAGAATGGCAGTATTTCATATTAAACTGAAACTGAGGCAGTCTCACATTAACAGTAACCCTTAGTTCCTTCTAAAATTCTTTTTAGATTATAATAAATACTTGTAAACAGTGAGATAATAAGGTATTTCTCCTGCCTTCCCAGCGTGCCTTCGTGGTGGTAATGGTTTTGCACGCTGGAGAGTTATTCTAGAGGTCCGTGGTTCGACTCCCGCCGAAGGCGTTTCCTCATTTTTCATCTTGCATGCTTCCAAAAATACCTAATGTCTCTACAAGATAATAAGATCTCCCTTTTACGAGAAAATTTTGAGGATATATTTCAAGATTTTAGAAAACCATCAACTACATTTCAGTATATCATCAGTTATCTGCGAAATCCTAAAGAGAATAAAAGCAGTTGCAATCAGACAAGAGACATTATAAAGGGGGGGGAGATATCTAAATCTTCTTCTATAGATGTGCCACCTAAAGGAAAATTCACAGCGCTTCAGGAGCACTCTCTGAGTTTGTGTCTCTTTTTGAAATCATGAATGTTCGCGACAAATATTTCAGTTCCAGATCATATCAGAATCTCTGGAACTTTGTTTGGTGATCTCTGAGATGATCTACTGTAATTTATTTATGAGTTAATTATGAAACAGTTATTAAAGTTAATTAATATTGCTTCATAAAAATTAATATTTAAATTTATAAACATAAAAATGTGAGAAAATAGTGTGCTAAATTTTAAGCTTAAAAGTATGAGAAATCTTTTAATTAATCGATGTTAATTAACACACTTTTCGAAAGAATAAACATCAGTGTTATCAACAACGCTTTCTGGTTCATTTGATTACATTTAGCACGAATTATTGAATGAAACAAACTTAATGAAAATTATTAGTAGTAAAGAAACATATGATTCACAATATATATGCTTTTCATCTCTTCATCAAAAATCTCAAAGTATAGATAAAGTTGGAAACTGTTTAATGTTACATATGGTTAATTATCTTGAACAGAATTAACAGATGGTCAATTATTAGTTATATGCAAAAGATTAAAAAAGGTGAATTAAAAGTTACTCTGTTTACTTAATTCATACCAAGAATATAATTGCCAGATAGTTGCATCGTTCGAATTCAGACATAACGTGAATTTTAATTTTAAAAAAAGTTGCTGATTCAAAGCAGAGCTGACTATTATATTAAAGACACTTTTTTCAGTCCTGAGGATTTATTCAGTAGTTTTAGAATGTAGGTTACAAATGGCTGTATTTGTTATAAGGCTTTAATTACTTAATCTGTTGCTTGACTTTGCACACTGAGTCAAACCAGAAACTTCGCTATGTGTTCGGAATTATATTAATTATGTATTCCAAACTAATATTAACTGAAAGTCACTATCATTCCTTGCCCCTTAGCAGCTTATGCCTCCATGATCAAAGAAAGCATCGAAAATAGGGGAAAAGGTTATCAAACTAATTTATAGATAAATAAAAAAAACTATCTTGATATTATTTTGCTTGTAAGGATTATGTTAATTTTATGAACAGTTAAATTTTGAGTTAAACTTCCTTTCCTACCGCTTCTTAATTTCAACTTCTTAATTTCACTTCCGGCCAGAACGTAGTTTTAGAACCACGTCTGAATGTAAATTGAGGAAGAGCGGTATTTAACCGCGAAGTTCTACTGTCTTAGTTAGAGAGAACCAGAGATTCTGGCTAGCACGCGTCCGCCTTTTTAGGCTACTCTCTCTTGCTAAGCTATTGTTATGATCGGCCGTACTTTAGGCCCTTGATAGCTTCGCAGTCAATTAGCGTTAAGGGGTCAACTCCGTTAGAATTTTGATAGCTTCTACTATATCTTTTTAGTTAAGATTAGTTAAGTTAATTCCTTAGTCTCTTAAGTTCAAGCCCAAGTGTCGACTTTATTGTAAAACTCCAAAGATGGAGTTCTGTTAAACTTTAGTTGGAATAATAAAGAGTTATTTCACCCGTTTCACTTGTTGTTTTCTACCTCACGAACTCAAGCGATTATTCGTTTACTTGTTCTTAAGATTCTTCACATTCAACTGAGAATTACACAATGGGGAATCCTACAAGCTATTTAGATACTTTAAGATTATATTACAGAAAACAGAGTAGCAATTTTCTTCAAGTTTTTAAAGTGCAAGCTGTCTGCTGGTTTATTGCTATAAGTGCCCAATTAATTAAAATTATTGAATGGTTTCATATGATGGTAAAAGTAGCACATTTAGAATAATAATAAAATTTGGCCATTATTTTTGAGCTGATCCAAACAGTTTTTTTATTTTACAACAATAATTAAAGTAATAACAATTGTCTGGCAACAGAATTCGAGTCTTGAATCGGAAAAGCAATTCCATCGTTGTGCAACAATGAGATATTTCCATTTCTGCCATATGACGCCATTAAAAGATTTGCAATAGGTTCTTTGTATTTCGACGAAACTTAATAGATATAACTGCACACATCTAATAGCTGAAATGTTTTTAAATAAGTAAAGAATATCTCAGAAGATATCTTTCAACTTCATATCCAAAATAATTTAGAGTAACGTTTCAACCCAAACGTCAATAGAAGCATATTACAAATCACGAAAATCAGTTTGTTGCATACGTTGAATAACTGCCGTTAACTGAAAACATCATACAAATAACCAAAGCCACATCAGAGATATAATCATGGAAGAAGATTCAAATCAGCCACCAGAGGGAAGTACAATTAAAATCATTGTTACAGATGAATCTGCAAATGAAAAAGAGCTGGATGAAGAAGAAAAAGAAATTCAGGCAGAAAGTATAGTGAAAACTTATGAAAGTAAAAAAATGAATGAGAGTAAAGATGATGTATCCACGGTTGAAAAACCCCCATCCGACAAGTTAGAAACAGATACAAGCGAAATGTCTGATCTTTTGACAGACAGAAGGAGTTCTAGACGGGAATCCACTGCTCTTCAAAAGATGGACGAAAAGCACTCGTGGTTGTCAGAACTTGAGGAAAAGTGTGCCAAAATAGAATCCACGTTCATATCGAAATTTCAGTACGTAGCATTGAGCAACCATTTTCAGAAGTATTTGGATCAGATGAAATCAGAGGTTACTATTTCAGAAGTTTATGCTAATTTTTCCAACCTCTTTGAAAAATTTCGAACAGCATACATTGGTTCGCAGAAGTTGAAAAATAAAATGTCAGAATTAAGATGCCTGAAGCAAATTTCAGAAGCAGAAAACAGGAAGTTGAAAATCAAACTGGAGGAGAAAGAAAGACGTGTTGGGCAGCTGGTCGAATCGCTGGAGAACTACAGGAGCGAAATAGATGAACTTCATGAGCAGAAAAAACAGCTTCAGGAAGAAATAGGTGAACTGAAAGAGGAGGCTGCGAAGACATCGGATCTTCCAGATCAGGTAAATTTTCTTACATTACATTCCTTTTCGTTTTACTTCCTTGTACGAAGTAAAGGAAGTATTGTAATCACGAAAAATTCCGGGTATCATATTTCAACGAAAATATACATTTTGCCGCTGTTGAATGCAATTTAACAATGTTTCGGCCTGACGTCTGTACGTAAGGACAGAATAAAGGACTCTTTTTTCCCAAACGAATTTAAAATGGATTCAGAAGAGATTTTTTTCGTGGCGTCTGTACGCACGTATCTTGCATAACTCAAAAACGAGTAGATTCAGAACGTTGAAATTTGATATATAGGACTGCTATAATATGTAGTTACGCATCTCCCTTTTTGGCTGCAATCAACTGCACCAAATATATATATATGTATTTCATAATTACAAAACATTTTTTTTTTAAAAAAACAAGATATAAACACGCCTAGTATTTTCGGGCATTAAGCTGCTGACAAATTATCAGTAAAGGTATAAAGTAAGAAATTTAGAATTAATTTTTCACGAAGACCAAAAACTGTAATTTAAAATTAATAAATTTCAAACAATTCTATACATGAAATTAAGAATTTTAAAAAATATTAAACCAAAACTTTCCAAACAAATAATATCCCAATTAAAAAAATAAAGAAATTTAAAGGGAAGCGAACATAATAGAAGAGGAATTTAATCAACTTCAATGCCACTTGGTCAGGAGGAGGAAATTCTTGCTTTTCTGTATCCAGAAATAGCTGATGAACCATTTCAATGTTGAAAGTATAATAATTCACACGAAAAATCGGGCCCCTTCCCAAAGCAAGAAAAAAAAGTAAAGCAAATTCTAATTAGAATCTTATACCTTAAAAAAATTAGTTTTAAATATTTTATTTTATGCCTTTACTGACATATATACCACTCTGTTACTCAGCTCAGTGAGGTAATTTTTTTATTCTTGTACGTTGGTAAATTGCTACTTTTGTTTCAAAAATGATTGAATTATGTTGTTCTTATCGTCCGGTTAAGGTTTTTATGCCTTTAGTTAATATGCATGCAATAGTTGTAGAATTATCAACAATTTAAAATTTTTTTAAGTGCGCCTAAGCCTAAATTTGTATACTATAGCAACCATATTTCATTTTTTGTTTACTATAGCAACCATATTTGTTTACATTTGAAACATAGCAGAACAGTGAATTCAGTTTCTGCACCTTCAGTTTCTTTTTCCCGAGTGGGACCAAAATTAAACTTTCTTTTTTGTGCACAGAAAAATCTGCCTTGTCGCCTGCTGGTCGAATTGCTTGTTTTTGCGCAGAAACCCTAATTTTAATTGTAAAAATTTTTATGATTGTTTTAACTGTATTTGGTGTTTTATTTTTTCTATATTTTTCAATTTTTAATGAAGATATTTTGAGGTTTTATGTATTTTTGGCTTGCCGGTAATTGAGAACAGAATTAATTGAATGACAATTATATCGCTAATGAAATTTGAGAAAATAAGTTTAAATGAAATGCAGCAAACTGTGCGTATAATTTCATATTCAGTAGAAGAAAGTCGTGTGATGCACACATCCAATTTTTTAATATGAAGTTATATAAGAAATCACAATACAATGTACAGGCAATATTTTCATTGCTGGTTTCACTATTTTTGAAGTAACTTGTTTCCCTGTCTGTCTGTTTCACTCTTCCATATAAAATAGTTTGTTAATTTTAAGTCATCATTATCATGCTCATTACTTTCCTTCCCCTCAAAGACTCACTCTATGCGATTACGGATGTAGCAATCTTGAGGTACCCTAGCCTCTTAAGGGATCACCGTATTGGTTAGACGGGAATCACGATCCTGGAGCTCTAGTGATCTTTCTTCTTTTCCTTTTCAACGCTCCATATCTGTTCCTTTTCCAGCTCCTCCCTTTTGTGTGTGGTTTTCCTTTTCGGAGGTTGGGGCTGAGACGTTGCTCAAAGCGAGATGCTGTTGCATGCATACTTTGTATATAGTTTCTCAGAGAGATAAACCTTCCTATGTGATTGCCGTGCGTGGAGACCCTATGGCTGGAAAAGAGGATCCTGGCGCTTGACTTGCAAGGTACTGTCCCCAACGCGCTGCTTTGGCCTCTGCTTCAGTCAAACTAGAGGTACTTGGCTGTCCTCGCTAGTGTCGATCGGCTGGTCACTTGTCGTTGTATCTGTTGCTTGGGGATAAGCTTTCGGGAGTTTTCTGCTTTCAGAAAAGCCGTTTGTGGGGCTTCAGTTTGCGTACAGACCCGGTTAGCCCTGGCACAGAAATCTCGTTTCCTTGTTGGATTCCATGGTGTTCGAGTCGCCGGGTCCGAATTATTTTCCTTTTCATGTCTCTTTCTCAAAACCTTAGTAAAACAAATGTTGGTACAAAAATAAGAATTGAAGAAGTAAATAGAATATGGAGCAATATTTGTAATTATTGCAAGCGATTCAGATGATTTTTGTAAAATGTTATCATTGCTGATTCAGAAACATCTAAAATTATATGGTGGTGATTTGAAAATTGTTAAAAGATCTGGCGATCTGCTATTAAAAGCAGCATCAATTATTGAGTCGGTATCTCTTCTTGAAATCTCTAAATTTGGAAGTGTCAGTTTTAAAGCCTAGGCGCATAAAATCCTAAATTTCTGTGGCGTTATTTCTGAGTAGGATTTGCTTTTTGTTTCTGAAGAAGGATTGATCTCTGAACTCTCTGACCAAAACGCAAGGCGAATCAAGATGCGAAAGGTAGATCAGATATATAATCCTGACCATCATCACGCCAAATTTGCCAAAATATATTAATGCCGGCTATCTAAATTGCCACGTAAGACCTTACTTACCAAATCCGCTGAGATGTTATCAGTGCCAGCGCTTCGACCATACGAAGACACCATGCCGTGGAAATCTTACGTATTCCCGATGTTCTGTGACTAACCATTATAGTGGAATTTACACCGCTCTGCCTCTGTGCAAAAATTTCAAAGGAGAACACATCCCTTCCTCGGTAATGTCCAAAATGGATATAAGGAAACGAAATTCAAAGTATTAAAGGCATTATGAAATTATTATACTAGGTTGCACGAAAAATAGCTAATAATACCCAATTTCGACCAAACGTATCATATTCAGATGTGACAAAATCTACAAGAAATGTTTTTATGCAGACTCTTTTTACTATACAGGAAAAAAACCGTGCAGTTTATCAACTTGCTACAGCGTATCTAATGCAGCCAAAGAAAATAATCAGCCAAAAGAATAAAATTCCTCAAAAGACGCAACAGAAGAAACCGAAGACCAAATTTGGTGCAACTGTTGCGGTTTCCATCACAGTCTGGATAATATCAAACACATGATCGCTGTAAATCACTCTGTCTGTATAGCAGAACAGGAAACGTTTCTGTAAGCAGACCACCCTGTAAAGCTGCGAAAACATTCTTTTATTAGAAAGGATAATCCTGGTGTTGATCGTGTCAGTGGGGATGTCGAACTACTCATCTTCCTTGATTATCCATCTAATGTTATCCCATTCATTACTTACCTTCAGGCAGTTGCAGTACAGGTCACTGTCAATAAATTGATTTTAGTTTGCTCATTTTATCTGCCACCTAATCAGCACATCGATCAGCAGGACAGAGTACAGAATATAGAAGGCAGCTATACGAGCAATATTCTTCTAGAATGTATGGTCGAAATGCAAGCGGTGAGAAGTTAGTTTTTCACTGTCACATTTAAAGAATTAACACAAGAATGAGAGGAGATACTTCGGAAAATATTTTATTAACAGACCATGCTAATAAAAATTGCTGAGAAGACCTTCCATCAGTTGTAATGCAAGCTTCACACCTGCTGGATAGAGACTGAGGCATATTTGCGAAGACACCAGGCATTTCCCGAATATCGCCGGCAACAACGGTGATCCTGGCGGCTAGATTGATATTGGTTTCAATGGGGACACTCGTAGATTAGGTTTCTAATCATTCTAATCTAGGGATATTCTATGTCGAATATTGCTCGTATAGCTGCCTTGTATCACCCCCTGTATAACTAAAAATCAGGAAAAATTCCAAAATACCCAAACAATGGTGGAACCGAAAATGCAAGAAAACGTCTGGTGAATATTTTATAGGTAATCCATTTTGTCAAGCCTGATTGCCTTCAAAAACGCAAACACGCATGTCAGTTTTATTAAAATTTGACCCTGTTCATCATCAGGCTCTAAGAATTTGTTCAGGAGCCTTCAGAACATCTCCTGTGCACAGCCCACTTGTTGATAGTTAGGAGCCATCTCTTCAGTTAAGGCGTGAACAATTGCCCTTTTATGAATATTTCAGTATTGTGTCACAGCCTGATCATCCTCTCCAGAGCTGAAAGCTTGATGACTGTTACAAGCTTTTGTTTGCTGCACGATCTGTAAACGTAATTCGTTCTTTGAAAGAGCTGAACCATTTATCGAAGAATACTGCTGGTCTGATGCGAAGGCCGAGGCAGTGAAGCATCTCGAAATTCCACCTTGAGAGAACTAAAAAATTCTACTTCTGTATGTTTTCTTCATCTTCATAAGAAAGAAAACTAACGAGATTGTATATAGGCAGCTTTTCTTTGAACGCCGAGTTGAATAGAGCAACTTCATTCTCAAATATACAGATGGATATAAAACAGCTACTCATGTATGTGCGTGTTTAGTCATTGGAAACCATACTGAGGGAAAAAGATTACCCAGTGCTTTTTCTATGTTTAGTGCGGAATTAACTGTGTATCTTGCTCTCACTTTCATATCTAAGTTACTGCAGAAAATGTTTATTATCTATACTGATTCGATTGGTGCAGTAAAATCAGGAATTCTCGGTATAGAGCAGGGTTTCTGAACATGTGGGTGTAACGTGTGGGTGAACAAGTGGGTAAAAAGAAATGAGCAAACATCCTAGCAAAGTCAACTGTAGATTTGTCCAGTCGGCTCATTGTCTTGAAAGATATTAAAATGGTTATCACAGCCAAAGTCCTAAATAAATGGCAATCACTGT